TGACAGCCAGTACAAGTCCTCTTTTGGAGTTCCCTCTGTTATATATCTGGGTCATGTAATCTTTGGGGATGGTCTGGCTCCTGAAGTAGCCAAGATTGCTGCTATTCAGGAGTGGCCTCAGCCACAAACAGTGAGGGATGTTCGGTCCTTCATGGGTCTAGCCTCGTACTACAGGAAGTTTGTCAGGAACTTTTTTGCAGTGGCTGCACCCCTGACCAACCTAACAAAGAAAGATACTCCCTTTCTTTGGTCCCTTCCCTATCAGTTGGCCTTCACACGACTCAAGAAGGTCTTGACTCGTGCTCCTGTGCTGAAGTTACCTGACCCCACTTTGCCATTCATCCTGACCACTGACACCAGTCAGTATGGCATTGGGGCAGTCCTTCAGCAGGATGATGGGAATGGTCTACGGCCTGTAGAGTTTATGAGTAAGAAGATCAAGACTCAAAAGCTCGAGGACTCCACCTACGAGAATGAGCTATAAACTGTTGTCTGTGCCCGAAAGCACTGGAAACACTTTCTCCTGGGTAGACACTTCAAGATCTTTTCAGATCACTCCACCTTGCAGTGGATGAAGTCCCAGGGAGAGTTGAATGATAAATTGGCACGGTGCATTCAATTCATTGACATGTTTGACTTTGAACTGAAGCATAAGAAGGGCTGCTACAACAAGGTAGCAGATGCCCTCTCTCGTAGGCCTGACTCTTTTGCTCTGATCTCCTCTACTCACTCCTTTGGAGAGGAGACCCGTCAGACCATTGCTCATCTACTGCCTCAGGATGAGACTTTCGGACCCATCGTCAGGAATCTGCAAGCAGATCCTAACTCTGAACCAGGCTATGCTCCGAGTTCAGATCTGCTGTACACTTACAGCAGAGGTGAGGAGCGCTTGTGCATTCCCCAGGACCCGCGGCTCAGGACACTGCTGATGTCAGAGTGTCATGACGTTCGTGGATATTTTGTGTTCCTAAAGTCTTATGCAGCCCTGTCGCAACGCTTCTTCTGGAAGGAGATGCAGAGTGATATGCTGCGCTATGTGGACACGTGTGAGCTCTGCCAAAGGAATAAGGTCCAACGCAGACCTCCTTTGGGACTGCTCAACCCCTTGCCCATACCTGATGGCCCTGCTGAATCTGTGGCGATAGATTTCACAAATTTAGGCAAGACCACCCCTCGTGGCATGCGTCAGGTTATGGTCTGCGTGGACAGGTTCTCCAGATACGCAGAGTTCATCCCCTTGCCAGGGATAGCTAGAGTTCCGGTTGTGAGAGCAGCCTTTTCTGAGAGGTGGGTCGCTCACCATTGACCGCCCACTTCTATCGTCAGTGATAGAGACCCCAGATTTTGCAGCGATGAGTGGCAGTCCTACTGTAAGGACTATCTGCACTCACGTTTGGACATCACTTCTGGTCATCATCTTGAAGCCAATGGTCAGGCGGAGGTGATGAACCAAGTCTTATTCTAATTGCTGCGTCCTGTCATCTCTCCGGGTCAACAGGATTGGGATCTTCACTTGGCTAGGGCACAACTCATGTATAACATATTTGTCCACTCCTCGACAGGGTTCTGTCCTTACCGGTTACACTGGGGGCGTGAACCACGACAGCCTCTCGATGACATCATCGATAAGGCTAAGCTTGATCTGACACCAGGCACAACAGAGTTCACCAGACGTTATCGTCTAGATGTGGAAAGAGCCCGCGCGAACTTGTTCAAAGCCCAAAAGGCTATGATTGGACAAGCTAATTGCCACAGGCGGTCCTCCCCCATCCGCACTGGTGATCATGTCTGGGTGGCCAGTTCTGAGCTGTCGAGGGAGGAGGATATCTCCCCCAAGCTGTTGCCTCGTTACCTGGGTCCATGGCAGGTCCTAGATACAATGGGCACTGATCCATCTGGTCCGCCCTATGTCATTGACGTCCCACTGCATCTACGAACCTATCCGGTCTTTCATGCATCCAAGCTGCTGCCGTTCACTCCAGCTGATGCATTTCCGGACCGGCCTCCTCAGTTCGGTCCACCAATCCCTGGCAAGGGATATGACGTGGACCGGATTGAGGATGAGAAGTCAATCGTGTTGCGATATGAAGCGGCTCAGAAGGGCAACCTTCCTCGCCGTTCAGCTCGCCTGCACCCCTAGCTCGGAGGTCCTCGGTCCCCGGGGGGGTAAGCCTGCAATGACTTGCTGATTTCTACTGCTGAGATTGACTGGGAGGCTGTACACTAACCGGTAGGGTTAGATTCGTAATTTTGTTTGGCTGAGGGCTAACCGAGAGACCTACCTGTGAGGAAAATCCCCGAGGGACATATCTGCAAATATGGGAAAATAGGCGCAGTAGTACTTCGGGTTTCCCACAGCTACCCTCACGGCGTATAGCAAGCCCGGGCTACCCCTAGGACAGACAGGCCCTAAGGGCCTAATCTGATAGACTGTCCTATAGCCTATAGCCGGGTCCGATAGAGGCCGAGAGGCCGAAACAGAAACGGTACCGGTCGGTCAGTCAGTCCGGTCTAGGTCTAGGCTAGGATAGTAGAGTCTATTAATAGTTTGGGGGAATTGGGTTGGGACTTTTGTCAGTTCATTTCTCGCGAAGCAGCGTGGGAGAAGCCAAGCAAGTTGGTGGCGGTGACCGTCTGCAGGCGGCATCCTGAGACCTCGTCGTTGACAGCAACCATAGCCGGCCCATTCTGAGCCTGCCGTAGCTGGGGCATCCTCAGCGCATCTACCCCTGAGGGTATCTGCGTCTGGCCGGGCTATATCGTTGCTCTACACTGTCCACTCGTGGGTGGTGGCAGCCATAGCTGCCTGTTCCTTCGTCAGAGTTGTCCATCGGCACTGAAGACTTCATGGCAGGACCTGTTCTTCATCAGGGTGGCTGGCGCTGGCCTCTGGCAGGCCAATCTGATGTGGCGCTACAAACTGGGTGTAGGATAGAGAGTGGGGTGTGAGTTCGGAGAGTGGCGAGATACTGGAACAAGCTCTGTTACGTTAATTGTTTGAGTTGGCTCATCATCAATGCAATTTCAGTTGTTATCCTCGCAGGTTCTACTTGTGATTGATTGTTGGGAGTTTGTCAGAGAGAGAGAAACAGTGTGTGTCTTCTCCCCATCTGTGCATAGCTGTATTCCGCTGCCTACTTCGATCTGTGTGCAGTGTGGACTCTGTCTCCTCTTCCCCTTCTCTTATGCATGTATGGACGTGTATGAGATTGTCTGTGTGCGAGTGGAGGTGAAAATTATCAGACAACCAAGTTCATAACAATACTTACACCTGGGCTTTTTGGTTTATTTTGCCGGCAGGCCCTTCTGAGTCGTTTCTTAGGGCGTGTCCATGCAGGACTTTTTTACCGTGCACCACTGCACCCGGCATAGTACCGTTCGGTCCACATCGCATGACCCGTCTCACATAGTGCCACCCAACCTGGCCTGCCTTTTTTTTGTCTGGAACTGTGTGTTGGTACCTTCATGGAGAGCTTTTCACCACAACCGGTAGCTGCGGCCATGGCCCGCGGCACGCCGAATAACTTGTTTCAGATAAATAACAGATGCATATATTATAAGGGCAACTTCCAACTTCCCTGATTTATTATGAGATAAAAAACAAATCTGGTTATAATAAGGCCTCCTAATTGTAAATCGCGTAAGGCCGAAGGCTTTCCATAACCTAAACCTTTGATTCGCGCTTGGACTGACTCAACTCATTGAATAACAAAAAACAGGACATCCTTCATTCTCAGCAGCAGCAGCTTGATCAGTATAATTGGTTGAGTGATGAGATCGTTTTAATCCCACTGAACCAGAAGAGGACCAAGATTTGATATCTCCGATAGAATCTGTTATGGTAGTCATAGACTCATAGTGTTACTTAAAGTTGATTTAATGTAAGTGATACCGTGCTTTTGTTTGCATGGCGTTTTTTAAGTTATTATTTGACTTTGTAAGTACGGTAAGATGCGTTAAAAAAAAGGATGCATAACGATGGGTAGGAGTGATTTAAAGTTGATTGAATATAAGCGGTACTGTGTTTTGTGTGCATGGCGTTTCTGAAGTTATTATTTGACTTTGCAAGTACGGTATAAGATGCATAACGAGGGGGAGGAGTGATTAATGGGACAAGTGGCTGTGAGATCCTTTTCTCTTGGGGGGGGGGGGGGGCGCAGGCAACGGCTCCTGAGGTTGCACCTAGCGTTTGGAATAGGGAACTTTAGCAGTTGTTGAAACAGGGCAAAAAAAGGCTACTGCTAAATCTGCATTCACGCCACTTCAAAAAATCACCCACAGTTTCAACCCCCTGCCATACTCGCACATTTTGAAACTCAAGCGATGACATCGGTGCCACTTTGTCTTTTCTTGCGTATTTCAAACTAAAAAGGTGACTCAGGAACTAGGCTACCAGCTGGCCGCCCGGGTTACCCTATTTTTCCGGGCGGCCCGGCCGTGCAAGGACTAGGGAAGGTCGCAGGCAAAAAAAAAAGAAAAAACCCAAAAAATTCGAGAAAAAACTATGTTATGCAGAAAAATAAACTGAACAATTTTTGCCTCAGGGTCACATCGAAATTCTTTACCGAATTTAAAATAAAAATTCAAATTGGAAAATATATTTTTTTGTTTTTGGCCTGGTTTTAAGTGGACCTGGGCCACTCTGGTACCCTAGCTCAGGAACAGTTTCCCCTTCTTCTTTTTTTTTTTTTCCAATCCCAACAAGCAGTTCCTCTCCCTCCTTGCCCCCTTTTTGTGGTGAGCATGGTAAACTGAGATGGCATGGTTATACCGTTATTGGAATCATAAATCCTTAAGTTTCACTCACTCACTCACTCACTCACTCACTCGCTGTCTTTCATCTTCTTCGCGTTTTTCGTCATCTTTGAGTCATCCTTCCCCGGCCCTTGAAGTGATGGAGTACTTCTTGAATCTTTTTTTTTTTTTTTTTTAATTCTTGAAGCTTATTGTTTGTGTAGTAATCTTGCTTCTTTTCCTCTGGTGTCTGATATGATTGGCAGATGGCTTGCGAATCGCGGTCTTGACGAAGACAATCTCATGCAACACCTGTCGGCCAACATTCGAAAGGAAGTTAAGTTCACCATGACCGCATGGCTGGTCGCAAGGGTGCCGCTTTTTACGGTAAGCAACCAATTGTTTGTCTGAAGCATTAGCAATGTCACAATGCATCACAGATCTGAAACCCTTTTCGCAGTGTGAAAACATGTAAAAAAAAAAAAAAAAAAGCATTTTTTTTTTCA